CCACATTATTTTGAGGGCTTAAAAAAATTATCTTTCACGTTTGTTGTAAATTTTGAGAGTTATTATTTTAGACCACATCTAATTGCAAACATTGGTGGGCATTTATTAATAGAACAGTGGGTTATTTTTTAATCAAGTGAGGGTTTTTATGACAACCATTTAGACAGAAAAGCAAACCAAATTTAATTAATAGTGGAAATGAAAATAAAACTTATATTCTACATAAAGAGTACAATCTCTTTCGAGACACTTAAAGGTTTTGTTTGTTTTATATAAATCTGTTGAACTGTAAAATTTTAGGCACTTGTGCAACCACGATTTTTATATTATCGTTCATTTATCTTTATTTATTTAACTGTCTCTCCCCGTTGTTTTGGATCTAGCTAATTTCAGCACCTACAAACTTAGATGTTTCAGTTTCAAATTTCATCTAGTCTCTGCAACCTCTCTATATTTAATTTCATTATGCTTAAAACTACAAGTATATTGTAAATAGTTGTCCATATTTGCTGATATTATAAACTATTAATAGTAGTTTCTAAAACATGACGAAATGAATATATTTGTCCAAAATGAAAGTTCAAAAGAGATGTTATCTTCTGAGAAAAATCGCTTAAGTTTCGTGGTCCGATTGACCTAATAAATTCTTTTCAATTAATTAATCTTTAAGTAAGGTATTGGTTGAGATAGAGAAGTCAGTGTCACGAGCGGGATTCGAACCCACGACCTTCGGCTAAATACGCCGCTGCTCTACCACTCTAGCTTTCGTGACTTCGATCCACTCGTACAACTTCCCATCTCAACCCAACCTTTTGACCATCCCTAACCATCTTCTGAGAAAATTTTACTATTTTTACCAATTGTTTACTCTTTTCCCCGCAGACCGTTTGTAAATTTTTCAACATATATGTATACATATGTAATATACGTATTATTGAAAAGTAAAATTGTTCAGTTGTTATTTTGAAAGTCGTTAGCTTTTAATTATAATTTTAACTGTTTTAAACCGTTTCGTTTTATACATTTTGTGCATTATGATTTAGTTATTGCCAACTGTATTTTCAAATTGTTGAAAAGAGCACATCGCTAGTATCAAAAGCTGTACTTTCGCAGTTGATAAAAGGATCTGTTTTGTATTGGTAAGACGTTTACGGTCGAGCAAAGGCATTGAGCTCGGTAAACGGCAGGAACAAATTAGCGATCCCCCTTCTTTTCTACTTTGAAGCGGTATAGTTTTTCTGAAGTAAAAGTTAGGTTTCCCATTGAGGTTCGTTAGCACGCCTTTGACTCCCTTTGAAACTCCCGTTTCTTTGTTTCTTTGAAAATTAAGGACCGCCTCCCTATTTACTCCCGGCGGCTCTGATATTTAACAAAACTAATTGTACCAAAAACTGCGATCTTATTGTGTTCTGTAAATTCTTAAACCTCTTTTTGTATCCCGCTTCATTTCCCTTTCTTTCCGTTAAAACGTACACAAATGTAGGCCTTTTATCAATGTCACTATTAATAAAGAGATGTGGTCCGTTTAAAGTGGCATTTTAAAACTTTAAGAAGTTGTGTATAAGTCTTGAAGCAGGAGGGCCGGATATCCTGAACCCTAATCTCTAACAAGGCCTCCTTCCAACTAATAGGCTAAACTGAATAAATAAATCTCAACACCCATCCTTACCACTCCGAACAATAAGAAATTCTCCCTCCCTCTAAAGAGTTTCTCCCTTTAAAATCCATCCTTTTCCCCCTTTTTGTGTAGATTAGATTAGACCTAAAACCGTTAAAAACTGTTTCAATTACTTTCGGCGTTTATACGAATGCAATGATTCCGCCGTTGAAACATTGGGCGAATTGATAGGAAAATTGTTTCGGCAATTTGTGGAAAACATCTGTTGTTACAAAGAGAATTATCGTTTTGTAATCTCCATTACACCTCGATTTGCCGAATGAATCTGCCCATTCCACTGAGCACTAATTAGCTTTCCGCCTTCTGCTAATATATTTCGACCTATCGTGCCGATGGTTATTTTTTACGGCCGGAGAGTAGCCGAAAACGAAAATTACAAAAGATAATCATTTCCAGAATTAATCCGGTTACTATTATTCAATCAGCTTCCTTAAATATTCGGATCCCGATTCAATGTAAATAAATACGACCTGTTTGATTTATAGATTAGGCGGACTTATTTTCGACTGATCCCGTTTAGTCGTTTGCTTTACAACCAAATTGTAAGCAATCCCCGGATTTCCTTTCTCTGGGGTATTACACGTGTTTCGTTTGCCAACCTGAATTTTGTCACGCTTTTGCCAAGGTAGATTCAACAAATTCTTACAATATTTACTAATTTCCAATAACAATTAAAGTTTTTGCACATACATTTTTTTTAATTTGGACCACATAAAAACGTCATATAGAGACATGCTATGATGGGTGAAAAATAAAGAGTGAAAGAGAGAAGAGATAAGAGTAAAGAGGAAGGAGGAATGGAAGCTGATAAGAAAAAAAAGGAGGTTCGTGCTAAAAGGACACTGAGAATTTACAGTTGATGTTACTGCGCAGTTAGAAAGATATAATTTCTTTTATTTTATTTATTCTCTTGTTTAGAAGGTATTATAAAATCAAATCAAATATAGACAAAATTTTCAAGTATATAGCAAAAATTAAACTACTCAACTTTTGTCACAAACCACTATAAACCTTCAGCAACACAAAACTAAAACTCAGCACCTTTGGATCGAAACTGGATAAGTCAGATTGGGGTAAAATGATAGGCATAAGTGCATATTTCAGCAACTTTAGGCCTGACAGACTGTGCACTCATTTGTTTGAAAATCTTGGTTCTTTTTTTGAAAATTGCAATCATGTAAAAGTTTTTTTTAACTTATCCAGTTTTACCTCGAGGCTGCTGAATTACTACTTACATGATGTTCAAACATGACGAAAAATGAACAAACTCATAGAACAAACTCACATATATCACTTACACCGTCTAAAAATTATACAAATTCAAAAGGAACATGACCGAGGATTACAATGACCTACTGGAAGAAACCACAAAAGCCATAATTAATCCATAAAAAACACCGACAAAGACCAAACCGACACACTTCTTGATATTTAACCTAGAAGACGTAAAATTGGCCCGAATAAAAAATACGATTGATGATGGAGAAACGCCGAAACACGTCTCACAAATAAAAATGACAAAAGCAACCAAACTAAATAATAAGTTGACTTAATTAAGTTCATTACTGTAGTAATAACAATATAATTATTTCATACGTATTACGTATTCCGTAATCCTACGTTCACATTTAATCCATCTACAACGTTCGTAATAATAATATATTATATTTCTTCAGTTTGTTATTCCTGTAAAATGAACTCTGTAATATTCATAACGCCACATCAACGTTTTATACTTACTTTATACAGTTTCTATTAAAATCCTCATTAAAATTTATACCCGGTAAATTGCAGTTTTTAATATCTTTATTGAAATAACAGTCTCATTTGTTTATTGATTAAACTTGGCGTTTAGGTAATTTTTGTTGGAAATGGTTTAGACCGTTATTTATTTTTTATTTTTCACTAGTTCAATTTTTCACTATGCGATTTATTTTGTTGGTTATATGGATTGGTGTGCGAGATTAATCCCATGCTAAACTGATCGACACTGATCACCCCAGACCGTCTATTCCCGTTGGTCATCGTTGATCCAATAAACGTTTCGGCTTCACGTCATCTTCAGTGCAGATCTGTATCAACTGGCAGAGATGATCAACGCGTATGAGTGCAAAATAAATAAGCCAGAATACACGAAACGAAAGGAATCAATGTCAATTAGCTTAATATTTATTTTACGACTTATACATACATACACAAAAAATATTTCCTACCAGCTTCAATAATTCACTTAATGTGTGGTACGTTAGTTTTTGATTATTTGGAGGTGCGGTCTGGTGTGACAGGTTTAAGAAAAACAAACATTTTCTTTGTCATGCCAACGTTTCGATCTTTATTGAGATCATCTTCAGGGCCTGGGATTTATAAACATTGTTTAAATTATACAAATACTTGTAGGATGTGAAAAAATGAATTTATACAATGGTACAAATTGTAGACTCAATCAAAGTAGACAGAAAACAAACACTTCGAGTACAAATACTTCTTTTGAGTCTCAAATTTCTAGCATTGTATAAATTCATTTTTTTCATATCCTACATGTATTTGTATAATTTATACAATGTTTATAAATCCCAGGCCCTGAAGATGATCCCAATAAACATTGAAACGTTGGCCCGATAAAGAAAATGTACGTCACACCAGACTGCATCTCACTATCTCCAAATAATAATTTGCTCAATTTTAATTTATGTGTTCAATTCAATATAATTTAAGATTTCAAATAATTATATTTATAACGGTTCTGTGCTGTGATTAATAAGTCCTGGTGACTGTCCACTAGAAAGAGGGCTAAAAATAATTTAAAATATGTCAGAGATGAAAAAAAGAGAGAAGCACCTGCAGTAAAAACTGGACATATGAGTGGACTGTACATAGAGTGGAGCTCTTTGTGACCGAGGTTCTCCTTTAATTAAATTATTTCCTCGGCCGAAAGCCGCTCCTGGCGCCCCTTTCTAATATTAGAGAAATCTCGTTTCAAAAGATTCCTTTAAGTGCGATACTTTTAGTTTGGATGTAAAAAATATTTTATTGTCTAACAACTTTCACGCTAAGAATATGATCAGTAAAAGAAGGAGAATATATAAAGAAACTGTCCATAAAAGTTTCGTTGCCTCGGATCAGTTTCCGGCAAATAGAGGAAAATTCCTTGTGTTATTCTCGTCCGGGTGTCCCGTCTTTTTTAGACCGCTCTTTCTGTCTTCTTTCAAATTGTTTCTTTCCGAAAACTTTAATTCCAATGTGAAAGATTCTAAAAAGATCTTAATATCATCAAGAATGTGTTTAAAAATTGAAATTATAGTGTTGTTTTTTTTCGTTTCAGTGCGTCCCAACAATCTTGAGATGTCACCGGTAAACTACCCTATAATCAAAGGGAACAAAGTCCATCTGACTTGTACGGTGAAAGGAGCGAGGCCTGCGGCGAACATAACTTGGTACAACGGAACTACAGCTCTTCAGGAAACGGAAAGCGAAGTAAAAATGGTAAGGTCGCACAACTGGGTTAATTAAAGAGATACGATTAGACCGTTACAAGATAGTACATTTGAACGGATGGGTTGGCCATTTTCTCTTAATGGATTTCTAGAAAGGGAAACCGTGTCTTTTCCAAAACCAGCGCTAACCACGCCTAAACTACACACTCAACAATGCCTCCCTCGTAAAATTGTTTTCTTTAATCAATTTTAACATCCGATGTAAGAGAAGAATCGAACGTTTATGTAATAAAGGAGGAGTTTTGAAAACCATCTGCCCACCTATAAATCTGAGGGGAAAATATTATTCGAAACAAAGTTAATCGTTGAGGGGATTCGAAAGGGGAAGGACATTCGATTTTTCATTAAAACCGTTGACAGGGGATTTTTTCTTCTCTTTGATATTGAAATTGTAATATACGGGGAGTAAAGTTATGAATGAAATACGCATTTGCGTAGGCGAAATTAAAAAGTTGTAAAAACAAATTGGACAACGACACTTTCAGTTTTCATGATAAAATTAAACCAAATATAATTTACAGGACGAAGGTAATTTCCAAAAATCCATTTGTTATTATAGTATCCATATAATAGATTGAATAAATTTTACAAACAAAATATAAATTAATGTCCAAGTAAAATGGATATATACCTACTAGTATTCGTTGTATTTTATATGAGATCCAAAAAAAGAAATATATTACTCTTTTCATTATAATTAAATTATAAAAAAGTAGTATACCTAATTAATTTTCTTTCATCCCTTCTTACAGCAGCTTTAGGTCTATTGTTTACTTTTGCCACACAGTTGTTTAAAATTTATCGGCTTCCTTATTATAATACATATAACCATTTTGTTTATCGAGTTAGTTTCTTTTTGAAAGTCTACCTTTAAGGCCCTTTGTTCATTGTTTGAAGCATCAATAACAAAAAAAACTTGCCTTTGTCCCTGCAGATTGCGTTTCGTCGACTTTGAAAATGGCCTCTTGGGGAAAAAGGAGAAATGTTATTTACGAAATAAAAAAGAAAGGGAAAGCCATAAGAGGGACCGGTATGACGAGAGGGCACTGTGACGTGAACAGTTCTTGGGGGGGGGGGGTGAAAACCAAATAGACCCCCGCAATATCCCGAGGGGGTTAAATCAAATTTGGTCCTGAATGGTCTTGTGGGAGCGACACAAAGACCCCGACCAACTATTTTGAACATGCAAGAAAAGGCCTAATAAAAACAAGCCGATTTACCATGAAAATCAACAATTCGTGTATAATGGTACTTTATTAGTTGTGAACGTCACAAAGCAACAGGTTCAAGGAAATTTGTTCATTTTATCAGCCCCATATCAAGATTCAAGAGGGTAGTAAACTAAAACAAAAAGGGTTTTGTTGAACTTTGCTCAACAACCCAAGAATATGGAAACCATTAAGCCTCATTGTCACAATTTTCAATGATGACTCAATGTTAATAAAAATTACTCGATAATTATTATTATCTTAAGAAGCAGTAAACAAATATTTGAGAAAATAAGAACTTACACTGCCCTTTTTAAACGAAATAATCATCCTAAGACACATAAGTTGCCATTAAGTTAATTCTGACATTTGGCTTTTTCAGTGGAATTGATCAGGGGTTACTAGGTTCTGTAGACCTGGATGGCCAAAATTAGGCTCCAGAGCTATTAACAAAGAAGTTATTTTTATCCTAAAACTGTACCAGTACAACGTTGGCGTACTAAATATACCTCCTATTCACAAACTGTATAGCTCATCATTAAAAACATAAATAAACAAAACTCATTACCCTATGCTTACGAGACAAGACATCTAAAGCAAAAACGCTTTGGCTGAAATGTAGGTATCTGTACGTAAATAAAGTATGGTTTATTCTGATTAAAATACCATAAACCTATCAAAGGAGAATGTAGTACCCAGAGTTATTAAACCTAAAGTTCTTGCAAGCAAATCATAAAAATCTGTCGTTTTGCTTTTTAGCATGTAATTTACATAATAAATTTACATTTTTTAATCACTAAATCATGATATATTATGTCTAATGATTTAAGTGATTTTTATGGCCATTTTACAATATTATTAATCATGGCATACCATTTATTACTCAATCTTTGGGCCTGAGTTTTATTTTAAATATTTTCCTACCTAGTCAAATAAGTTCACATCTTCCATCTTGAATTTTAGAACTTATCAATTAACAATTTTCAACAATTCCTTAATTATATTTTTACGTTGTTAATTATTTGAAATATATATTTTTTTATATCTCGCTCTGCAAATCCTAATATAAAATTTACTATACGTGTCTAAATTAAATTCCGTTGGTATCTTATTCCTGTCAACAAACTGAAAAGCAATATCTTTTTTATCCCAGGATCAAGGGTGTGTATAATATCTAACTCTTTTTACAGAAAACTGCTAAACCAAAGTGTTATTTATAGGTTCACTTAAAATGTGTTCTTGTTTCATACTTTTACGCTCCCCTTGCGGAAAATAATTTTCGTGGAGGAAAAAGATTTCTAACGTGTTATATAGGCTACGCCCGGCAGTTACCTGACGGGTTGAGGGGTAAGAGCTGATAAGGTAATAGCTTTAGACAGCAGGAAATCACAATCGGATTTCCAAAAGGGAGATGATGAAAATCTACCAAAGAGTAGAATCCTGGAGATAGGAGTCTTAAGAAAAGAAGACAATAGCTTTCCATTAGGTTGCCTCCTCAAGATAAAGAGGAAGGCAGAGGCAAAAGGCTGGCAAAACCGAGTTTGTTGGCGAGTTTCGTGTAATTGTTTCTCCGGATGTAATTGTATCCACTTGTTTATTAGAATTAAATCGAACGACGAGAGCATTTTAGCGCTGTGCCATAACGGCCGGCTGACAAAGTGATCATCCTTAAAATTGCAGAATTACTTAAAACCTAATTTTACTAATTATAAGTAATTTTATTACATAAAATCCCTTATGCAGGAACGTTTTTATGCTAGCCACATGTACTGCCTCTTGAGAGTTTAAATAATATCACGAATCACTAGGTGTAAATAAACAACAATTTTTACAGTATGGAAAATGCCTGATGTGGCTAATTTAATTTTAACAATATTTATTGACTTTTTTCCACTCCTACAACTCCGCTAACATTATGTACAGCCTAAACGTCTAAATGTTGAGAGCCCATTGAGTAGATTTTTACCTTGACGCCCTTCCTTCATTCACGCCAATAAATACACAGTAAAAATCATGCTTTCACTATCCTAAGATTGGTTAATTGATATTTGGTTCATAAAACTGTAGGTACGTAATAATCAACAAAGACCCCTGTCTATTCACACAACCACGCAAATAAATACATTCGCACAATTACGTAGTCATCAGGATTTTTGATACCCCTCTATCACAGTGCAAGTACACATAAAACTAAATAACCTAGACTACTTTGATGTGTTTGTGGGTACTCGATATCCCAACACAAGCACACTCAAACTTACTATAACATTCGCGCTAATAAATACATTCACTCAAATTAAGGATATTATTTCAACCTACGTATGAAAGGCCTCCCTATATATCGTCACGTACACCTCTATCCGCTTCCGGTATGGAAACAATTTCGTACCATAACCACTATTGTTACAAGTTGTTCGAAATCCGCAGGCAGGCCACACCTTATTCTTTGCGGCGCTAATTCCTCCCATTCTGTTTTATGTGATGTACAGTTACTTGTAAGCCGCATAAAGGGCATCTCCGTGTCTTTATTTGGCGATGAGATTCCCCGTGCCAGCTTGGTGTGGGCGGTCGACTTGGTTTAAATACATTACTTACCGTCGATATACATTATATATTAAAAAAACTGTTATAAAAAATTAAATCATGAGTATCCAGAATATAATTTATTAATGTTTTAATTTTGTAATAACCCTAAACGGGCAAATAATTTAACTACTGAAATTGGTGCTCCGAAACCATTCTTTTGATTGTTATTATATAATCATCTAAAACACATTATATTTAACCTTGAATAAAAACAATATGCAAGAATATTAACATTTTTAAAATTTTAGTAATTTTAAATTGTTAAAGATGCGTTTTTTAAGTTCAGTTAATGAAAAAAACACCTAAAATTAATACAACCATTCTGTTGGCAGTACTCATTTTTTCATTTCACTATTTACATGTGTGGCAAAATATGAATATGAAAAAGATAAAAACATTCCTTTTCATGTCATAGTAAAACTAAAATTTAACAAACTATATACCAAGTGTGTGGTGTTTAGTGACCGTTAGTTAATGATTATTTGGAGATCGTGAGATGCGATGTGGTGTGACATGGATTTTAGAAAAAACTTTTGTTTATCATGCCATCGTTTCGATCTTTATTGACATCATCTTCAGGGCTCAAGTGTTTGTCTTCGGTGCAGATGTGTCATTCTTATCTGTCGTGTTGAATGACACATCTACACGGAAAACAAACCCTTTGAGCTCTGAAGATGATTTCAATAAAGATCGAAACGTTGGCACGATAAAGAAAACGTTTTTCTAACACCCACGTCACACCAGACCACATCTCACGATCTCCAAATAATTACATACCAAATATGTTTCAGTAAACGATATTAAAATATATTTTTCAAAACTTTAACTCCCAGAAAAAATAGCAGGGATTTTATTGGGGTTGTTATTATTTTAGATAAAGTTATATGAATGAATATCTGATCAATTTCATCACATTATATTGTGACCTTTTGGCCTTTATTTAAAAACTTTTTTAGTAGTAGCTGAGTCGTTTTTTATTTTTTTATTAAAGTTATATAATTGAATAATACTCTGATCAATTTTATCACTTTATATAGCACCTTTATTTAAAAACCATTTTTAGTAATAACTAAGTCGTTTTTTTGTGTTGTTATTTTTTAATTGGGGTTGTAAATTAAATGTATAAAATATTTCATTTTTAGTTAATGTAATGTAGTGGAATGTTATATTCTATCGTACATAATCGTAAAATATTTTAAAATATATTTTCAAAATACACCTGATTCGCTTTAAATTATCTTCTATGACCCTTATTGAATGAAAAATTATTTTAAATACATACATTTTTTATTTGAAATTCATTGTATCAGGCTTTGGCCGAGTAATAAATATTTCTCTTGCCTCCAAATCCCCTGACAGATCCGTGACAGGGGGGTCAACCTGGTGGTTGAAAAAAGGCACATCTAAAAAAAAACCAAAGCCCGACCTGCGCGTTTGTCTGTGGGAAGGGGTTTGTCTCCTTCGGATTAGAACAAATACTAATTAGACTTGAAAGAGGGGCAAGGACTGATTTATCACAGAGTAGCACTGTACTAGGCACGAGTGGTCACATCCATTAACCCAGTCTTCTCTCCCCTGCTTTACAAACATCCGACATAAATAAAATAATGCTGGGCGCAGGAGGAATAGAATTTGTGGTTGTTTTAATGTTGCGGTGGATTTATACGGCCAATCACTTGTTATTATACTCATTTCCATTTTAAGCCGATCTCTGTTTTACATCTGAAATAGTTGGATGTACGACTCTGATTTATACCAAGTGGTTTTTATAACACGGTTATTTATACTTCGGTTTCGCAATCAAAATTCAGAATGTTTTACACTTTAATCGTTTTATGCTAAAACAGAAAAAACTGGTGGCTTTTGCAAAAAAATTTATATTAATTGTAGATGGTTTTTAAATGTACAATCCCTTTATAACTATGAAATTGAAATAGTTTTGCATTATGGAGGAAAATTTCTTAAATATTAAATCTTTAGTTTTAAAAAAGATATTACTAATGTGTGGTGTTTAGTGACCGCTAATCAATAATTATTCGGAGATCGTGAGTTGCGGTCTGGTGTGACGTAGGTTTTAGAAAAACATTTTCGTTATCCTGCCAACGTTTCAATCTTTATTGAGATCATCTTCAGGGCCTGGGATTTATAAACATTGTTTAAATATGACAAATACATGTATGATGTGAAAAAATGAATTTATGCAATGCTAGAAATTTTAGATTAAAAAAAATAAATAAGTAAAAAAATAAAATGAATTTATACAATGCTTGAAAAAAAAATTATCTAAAATTTTCTAGCATTGTATAAATTCATTTTATTTAATTATTTATTTTTTACCTAAAATTTTTAGCATTGTATAAATTCATTTTCTCACATTCTTCATGTATCGGGTTGTCCGGAAAATAATGCAGGATTTTAAGTTTTCATTAAAAAAAATCTATATAAAATATTCTGTTTACGTTTACAGGATTACTCATTTGTATGAATGTCAANGGGAAATTATTTTGATTAAAGAACATTGCTTTAAAGTAACTAGTTTCTTTTTTTTTGTTTAATACCAAAATCCTGCATTATTTTCCGGACAACCCAATATTTGTAAATTGTTTAATTTTTTGGGGGTCGGCGAATGGCAAAGAAAATAGCCGACACGCTAGAAAATCTACGATGGGGTTAGTGTCCCTATTTTTTAATTTTTCTTCGTTTTCTTTTTCCATTATCTCCCTTCTTTTTTCCCCTTATTTCTCTTCTTCTTTCTAGTTTATGCGTCTATGTGCAAACACCCACGCCCACACGCAGGCACATAAGGAAATACTGAGTATTAAAATGATTTTTAACCGTTCCTATTGTGGTAACATGTTTATTATTTTTTATTATCTCCCAAAAGAGTTTATTTTTTATTAATTTTTGTTTATTTACCTCGTTTTTTTAACACATCCCATTCTCCAGACTTGTATAAGTGATATAAGAGTACAATAAAAAAATATGTCTTGAGGTAGACAATCGCAGCACAATACAAAAAAATGAATATTTTAATATGCGCCAATTTTTTGTGGATCAGTGTAGTTTAATCGTCATCGATCATCTTGATCTGTTTGTTCTCGCTGATTTTATTATATATATGTAATTCTGTAATGAAACAAGCCCCGAATTAAAGATACAAGATACAAACAAGCTCGAAAACGACTCAAATAGAAATGTCTGTTAATAATTTTTAGAGACAAGCTTCTAATCAAAATGATTTCGTTGGTAGAATTATCTGTGTGGTCTGTGGAGTGATGTACCTGTAATATTTTCTGGTCTATTATTGATACTTAAAGCAAGAAAAAAAAGAATAAGAGTCAATACAATCCGAATTAAAATACCCATTTTATTAAATTTGCATTGTTTAGTGATTAAGAATGACGTAATCATTTAAACGTAAGAGCAACGGTTGAATGTTAATTAGAAGAATTCCTAACGAAGGTGAGCCAAGCAATTGAGAAAAGTGTTTAGGGGTGTGGTAGTAGAGACTCATTCCATTCATTAAAGCAGGGGGTTAAAGCCGCCCCTTTAGTCGCCAGAACCTTTTTATTAAGGGGTTGGTGGGACAAAGCCTGGAAGCCAACGGTGGGACTACTGCCAGATAAATCCTAAGGAGTCGGGGGAGGAGGTTGAAAATCCCAGGAGGTAGTTTAGTGGACTATAAAAAAGGGACACTAAAGCCTCCAGTACATAGGAGGCAATAAAGGCCAGGAGACGTGCTAACTGAGCAGCCGAGGCTCGCACATACAATATACATACAATTACGCTCCTGGCACACCCGAAAACGCTCCGATGTCTTGCGACTGATTTATATGTAAATTTGTAAAAGTTCCTATCCGGCCATATTTGAGAATGGAAGTTTCCTTTAACGGAAAAGACAATTAACAGAAGCCCACGAAAGATAACCATCTCATTTACACCCCATTCCTTCGGGCTATTTTCCTGTTGGAAATTGTTTATTCAGCTGTTTGTTTCTGCGCATGCTGCTTTGGATAGTTAATAGATAGGAAACCCTACACGAAAAAGATAGCGAACGTAAGTATTACATTTATTTTTTAAATATAATGATATTGTTATTTATTGATTTTTGCCATATTATTTATTTTAAATATAATTTTTTAAACTTAAACATTTTATTTATTTTTAGCAAAGTAAAAAAGTAACATTTGGTACTAGCAAGTATTATTAAAATGCTTCCAAAATGCTATTTTTAATATTAAAAAACCGTTCATATTAAATTAACTTTGATTATATTCAGTAATTTTCAAAAACAATGGAGATAAAGAACAAAAGCACACAAATAACTAACATTTTGTCGCTTGTTTAGTCATTGCTCAAACATCTATTTTAAACATATTACATTGAATCTGGTATTTTCAATATGATCTAAAATTGAATTTTACTGTTGCAACGAGTGTTCAAGGTTTAAATGGAACTTTATGAAACTCGGAAAGGATCGAATAAATTAAAAAGTTTAATCTTTCTGCTTGTTCACTCTTTTTAACGGCAACAATTATGGTAGCTACTTGAAAGGAGAGTTCTACAAGGCATAAAAAGCAAAAACCCTATCAAAGATTTGTAACATTATCGTTTTATAACTTCAACTAAGACAATTATCTTTCATCCTAATCTTTAGGCTAAAATATTAGACAAGAAATATTACACAAAAAAAACACATTTAGTGTTTACCCAACAATTAATATTAAAAAGGAACTATCGGTTGAAAGAATCTTAAACAATCAACAGTAATTGTAATTAATTAATCTTTATGAAAGGTATTGATTGAGATAAAATAGTCAGTGTCACGAGCGGGATTCGAACCCACGACCTTCAGCTAAATACACCGTTGCTCTACCACTTGAGCTATCATGACTTCGATCCACTTGGACACCAACTTCCCATCTCAACTCAACTTTCGAATTTTCCCTCCTTTTTGCCATTTTTCAAATGTCGTGTGATCTATTCGATTTCGTCGACAAATGATGAAATGGTCACGGAGAGCATTAGTGAAGATGTACTTCATTTAACTTATTAAATCCATTAGAGTTCGTGAACTGAAAAATGGCAAAAAGAAGCAAGAAGGATTTTTCCTTTTTCATCTCAACCAGCTAACTTACACAAAAATTAATTAATTGAAAAAAGTTATTTGGTCAATCAGACCACGAAATCTAATGGATTTAATAAGTAATAGTAATGCTGATCAAAACGTATAACAAAAATAGAATAAACCTATTATATACTATAAAAGTGCGAATAATAGTGGAAATAAAGGTGATTTGACATTAATATAAACGAAATTCTTTCTGCTCAACAAATTACTTTTTCAGGTACAGGAAATTGTCCGATTTGTTGATTTTCCGATGGATGTTACATTAGTTTTAGTTCAAATCAACAATTTCTGAATGTAAAAACAACTAAGAAAACTATTTTCTTGGATGGTATCTATTTTGTTTAAACCGTTAACGTTATTTTTTTAAAGAATGCCGACCGTCTTGTGGACGATAGCGGAAAAAATTGATATCTGGTCTTGTTAGGGTAATAAAGGAGTCCTCATAGGCTATTGGTAAACGAGTCAAGGGATCTTGCTGTGGTATTTTAGCCCTTTGGTCTTTCAGTTCTTTGAGCCTGGCCTTTTCATCTATTGTTAGCCTTTATGCCAAGGTGGGCCAATCCTAAGACCTGATATTGCTCTCTGCCTACATTACACGCTCAACCGACTTATCCTATCAAGGAGCTATGAGGAGATGAATTTTCCTGCCTTGTGGTATCGAAAAATATAATGACCTCCGGTGGATAAAAAAAGATTTTATATAAAAGTATAGATAATTATAATATAATGGATTATTATATTTGAATAGTACATTGAAAAAAATGGATATGTATAAATAAATTGATATACACTGAGTGACCAAAAAAAGTGGTAATTCTTAATATTTTTAATTATATTTATGTTGAAGCCGTGAGGAGCGGTGAAGAATGAAGTATTTTAGAAAAACACTTTTTTCATTTTTTGCCAAGGTTTCGACCTTTATTCGGTTCATCTCTTCAGAGCCTGGGTGAATTAAAAAACATACTACATTCGAAAATATACAATATAGATGTAAATATAAATTTTGAACCAAGAATTTCATATTCACATAAAGTGTGCTGCTATTCTTTTCTCAAACGAGAAACACACTTACCCGATGCAACGCAATGCGATGCTACCCGACGTAATTCCAAAGTCCAATTTTCCATAATATTTATTACCCCTGTGCACATCTGCCCGATGCTATGCAACGCTACTCTACTCTACGCTCTGCGATCCCCACTGTCCAGATTTTCGTCGGGTAACATCGAGTACAGTCGAAGACAAAAGAACCGGATACTCATATCTTTATTCAAACTACATGTATTATTCTCGTTATATTAATTACAACATACTTATTTTAATTAACCGAGATCAAAAATTCATTCGTTTTATTTTTTTAATTTAATGGTTTGGTAGAAAATTGATCAAAACACAGGAATGCCATTTTTTGATATAATGAATTTAACTAACAATTTATTACACGGTTTTCCTCATAATATTTAACTAACAATTTATTTCATGGTTTTGCTCGTAAATTACACCATTTTCGTCGAGTGATTCAGGAAAGGACACTCATATTTTTCGTAGTTTGTTTCAAACTAAGTAAGAAAATTTATCAAAACACCGGAATAACTTTATTTAAAGCAATTAAGTTTAGAAAACAATTTATTACATAGTTTTGCTCAAAATAATGCATTAAGAACAAAAGAGGCGTTGCGATTGCGATACTGATTTGTGATACACTCTATATGACTGTACGTGGCGTGCACTTGACGTCGCATAGATGTGCACACCTTACCAAAACGTGACAAGGCGTCGGGTAGCGTTGCATCGGGTAAGTTTGTTCCCCACTTAAGAGTAATTTGCCTCTTGTCCGCGACACCGTGTAGTGTGTAGCCTTCTTGTATAACGGGATTTACGTTACTTTACTATTACAGCCCATCGTATCGGCGGTTAATAGCTATCTAAGACTAATCTGCTTTATTTCCTGGCTATACCATTGAATTCATTAACAAAGTCACAAAACTTTTTTCTTTTCTTGGCAAGTTAGAATCGGCCACTGAGGTAAAGAGGTGGTAGACTGAGCGAGGTCAAAGTTACGAGTGATGTGTGCTTTTTGCTTTCTATATCATGGTAAAACGAAGGTCAAAAACATGCTAACGTACGGGTTGGTCAATCTCCTGACATTATTGACACCCTGGATGTAAATAATAAATTATGTATGATCTAGTTTTTACCACTTATGAAACGTTTTATCTTGTAGAAGTGGTTGGAAGAGGGGTTTCTCTGTTGGAGGACGGTCAGGACTCACTAGAATGCTAACATTTGTTGCTTTGTATGTTGTGGCCGAGCGTTGTCTTGTTGAAACAAAGCTTTTTTCGTGTTCGAAACCTGTACATACAAATTTCAGTATAGCATGTATTATATGTATTATAACGGAGTTGGTAATATAATTATTGCTCATAACGACTTTAAAGTTCAAAAAGACAATAAGTTTATCTATCGACTTCATACGTAAAATTAGTCTCTTGTAATGGAGCGGCCAATATGTTTTCAGGCAATTTTCAGTATAACTTGTGAAGTTTCTCTCAGTGTTGATCTGTTTCAGCATCTCACCATATTCAGTGTTTTTTTTGTTTTTTTGTTTTTCGAAATGACAAAAAACAAGGTTAAACAGTCCTAGATGATCAGTAACCACGAAGTTACAGGTTTTGTGAAACATTTGTAAATGCCTTTTTCTTTTTCCCTGAATTTTTATCAACAAAAAAAAATCTGATGTGTTCGTTAGTTAATGAGTCTATATTGTAAGATCGACTAAAATAAATTATCTACAGAGAGTCATTATGAGTCTAGCCAGTTTTGATGGCTTGTATTGTTAGTTTCTTTTTTTTTTAAATAGCGCAGATTTAATACAGGTGAAAATTTAAATAAAAAACTAATAACATTTGAAATAAATAAAAACGGAATATTTGCTTTTCTGGCTTCATTAAATTTAAACATTTTTAGAAAGAGCTTTTTACCTTCAAATATATTGAACACCTTTTATTCGGGGATAAGGAAGGATTCAGAAGGATGTTCATAAGAAACCTCGATTTGTGTCGTATTATTTAAAAATTATTGTTTTTTAATACATATAAATAATTATATAGATATATTAATATATAATTATGTATTAATTAAAATAACGTCATAGTGATGCGAAATGATCAGTGATTAAATAATGAATAATTTCGAGCCTCATCAAACCAGTCACTATTCAGGACTGTGATACAGGCCGGTTGCGGTTTTGATTATCCAATGCTAATTTCAACAATGCCATTCCTCTCATATTATCCATTTGCGGCAATGCGTAAGTTATTTTTAGCTGGTAAATGAGCTTTCGACGGATTAGAGTTTGTTTTAAACCTGCATTTTGTTGTTTAGTCTATGCCTGATTAAATACGCATATCGACACACTCAAGTAATTGAGGAAATACCGAGCCGTCATTCAGGGCAACTGAAACATGACATGTGCCGTTTAGAAAACATTGGTCACCATTTTACAATGTTCATTGGACATATCTACTATTTAGTTGTAGTACAAATATTTTTTTGAATTATTATTGCTTCTATTCGCAATATTAGTTAATTGACATATTTTTTTCAGAATTTGTCAATTGACTCTGTCGAACAGAGTTACATTAAACAGCAGGGAAGCTCTCTTAGAAAATGAAATTCTTGGAGCTTCTAGAACTTAGATAATGAAAGATCAGGGATATAAGCAGGGCGAGGAAAAACGCTGACTCCTTCCAATCTCTTATATTTGCTTGGGTTAAACACGAATTATATTCGGGAGATCTGTCTTGTAACATTGTTTTATTTCTGTTGATCAAAGCTGGATGTTTTACTTTGAAAACTCTATTATTGTTGGGAATAAGGTTAAGAGCGAAAAGCCGCAAGCTCAAAATGCTTTCATTATTACCAACCTCGTAAGTAAGTTTACGCTTCTGTCTATTATAAATTCTTGCCATTACTTTTTAGCTTGTCCTGAATTTCCCTTGTATTTGTAGTAATTGCAGTATTTACATTGCGAATCTGCTCAAAATTCAAGTCCCTTTTATTACTCAATAACGTATATAATTGAAAGGTTATTACATGAAACTCTCAGGATAACCGACTTTTAGGCAGATTACATCAAAGATTTTGACTCGGCGATCGATTTTGACTTCAAACTAGCTCGCCTTCTTCAATCTTTCTACGTTGTTTAATCGTAACGTTCAACCCAACTACACCGATTATTGATCAGCACAATGCGTCCAAGCAAACGCTGAATTCCGCACTTCCTAGTTAGTTTCTGGGAGTGGTGACAAGGTATGAGAGTCACGTGATCGAGTCATAGAGTTGGGCGGCGTTAATCCACCCTCCTCGGCCACAATGTAATTAGTACAAGCCACGGGCTTAATGACCTAGCAATAACAATACCATTACCGAAGGAAGGAGGGGTCCTGAATTCCAGTCTCCCGCACAAACCTCCGTTTCACGACCACTCAATCCTTCCGAACACCAGCACAGATAAGTTATCCAACTTGATCCTTCAAGTCTGTTTAACCCAACTAGGACTTTCATTTAATAAGCAGAAATGATCTTTCTGTTTGATATAATCCATGCTATTCACGGATAGGCTGGTATCAGAATATATGCGATTATGCATTTCATCCAATTCTTTCTTCGACCAATATAAATACTAATATTTAAAAGTTTTTTATGGCGAATTATGCATTTTCTTGCAAAAAACTTTCCAACCTGTACAGAGACATAACAATGTGCTATTGCAAAAGGAAAGTTCTTGAATAACTGCTGTATCAATTAGACTTTTCTTTTTTTATGGTTTTATTTCAGTGTAGGTTTTGTGTGTTTATTCGTCATTTTTTAATGTATCTCCATTGTTATAAATGATTGTTTTTTTGTTTCTTTAAATTTAGTAGTTGACTTTTTTTTATTATATTTAGTCTACATGCTTCATACAAAACATTACATGTAATACAATAACCATAAATATAAAATATATAAAATGTATATGTATATATTGGGATATCAGATTCATATTTGGCGAAAAGACAATTACTGAAACTGTTATATAATAATTAATAACGTTAATAAGTAGAAACTAATTTTTAAAAACTAAATAAACAAATAACTTAACATTTAACTAAATTACATTAAATCTATTGCTTTAATGAATGTGTCAAAATGTTCATAATATTCTCTCTTCATGAGCTCCTTCTCATCAGGTGGCCACTTCTTGTCTTGCAGTAGGCACTTTGGTATCCAAACACTACGCAGTGGTTCTATTAGTGGGCACTCATATATTAGGTGTTTAATGCTTTGTTCTACTGGGAAATTAGGCATAAGCATGATGAAGATTCTCTTAGATGAAAGCGGAAAAAATAGCTGTTAAGATGTGGGTTAGTGGTGCGGATTGTTGGATGTGCGGCTGGAATCTATCGGCAACTTTGGGAAAGAACTTTCTTGTCTGCCTTCCATTATTTGTACTTGACCAAGCATTTTCCCATTTTTCCAGGCTCTCTTCGAAAAGTTTATTTATAATTGATGACTTTGGAAGTTTGGTGTATGCCAAATTCAAACTCTCGTCAGTAGATGCTAATTTGGCCAGTCTGTCAGCTTCATCATTTCTCTCTATTACGCAATCAGCCTTAACCCAGCCTAGTTGTACATTAACATTCTGTTTGACTAGAGTTTGAATAATTTTCCTTATTTGCTCAGGCAAAAAGCCATGATTATTATAATAAATAATTGATTCTAAGGACACTTGACTGTCACTTAAAATGATAAATTTGGCAATATTCCCTTCTGATTTTGTATTCATAGCCCATTGCAAGCTCTTCAGAATGGCCAAAAGTTCGGCTTGATTATTGGAACATGCCTGATGCAGTCTGTATTTTTTTTCATAAATTTTTGAACCGTTTTGGAAACAAACAAAAGCACTACCTAACCAACCTCTGATTTGCTTCCTTCAGTATATATAGACATATAATCACCATCGGCCATTTCGGTAGTATGTAGATACTGGATGTCAATAGCATCTGCCAGGTGTTTCCACTCTTTATATTGCAATGGTCTATCATATGTTGTGTCTTGAAGCTCAACATTACCATTATTCACTATTTCGTGTAATTTTTTAAGTTGAGCTATCTTTATTCTTATAGGCATTATATTTGCAACAACACAAGCCGCTTCATATGAAATGGTATGATACCCTTTCATCATCCTTATTGCCATGATTCTTTGCACTCGCTGCAGTTTTGCCATTATTTTCTTATTATTTATAACTGAATCAGCCCACACAGGCGAAGCATAGGCAATCCTCGGAACCACTGCACTATCATACATCAATCTAAGGGCCTCGGAGTTAATCCCCAGCTTTCTTTTGCTGATTTTGAAAGAGCATTGACTAACTTAAGAGTATCGTCAGTTTTCTCTTGTATGAAAGAATAGTAGTTGACTTAAAATTACCTTAAATATATATGTTGGAAAAGAAAACTACAAATAAACTACAAACAAAAAGTAAGACCGGTTTAAAGTTGTAAGACACCTGCCGTTAATCTTTTTAATAATTCCATTGTCCTACAAATATATTTATGCTGAGCAAGATCCTTTCAGTACATTCAATGTCGTTGTTTTTTCTTCGCATTGTAACAATGAGAAGCAAGGATTAAACACGAGCTTTAAAATCCTATGTAAAATATTTCATTCCTACGAAACATTTCATTTAAGATTAATCTATTATCCAGACAAATCCTTCACAAGGATTTCATAAATGATTGATATCTGGTTAAAAACATGCTCAATTTTCTCGTGTTAATGAGCTAGTTTTTACAGATCGTTCGAACGATCCTATTTTATTGTTCGCTATCCTATCTTCTACAACTTACTTCTTTGGAGAACGACCATTAGAAAGTTATAACAAGACCGTTTTATAACAGATGTTTCTTGTCACAGGGAGACAACACTTTTGATACAGTTTCTCAACTCGTCTTCATCGCTACAAGGTTCGAGAACGAGCAATCACTGAGCTGCGAAGCCTCCAACGAAATAATGAGATCGAGACACGAAGGGAACATGAGAGAAACAACCACTTTGGAAGTTATGTGTAAGTTATTTTTTTCATGATTATTATAAATTTAGTTAATTTCCCTTCAAAGCATGTGCAAGTATTAACGAAAATAATTTTTTGTTTAACATTCCATATTCAATTGCAAAACGTTTTAAAAACCCCTTTAGGGTCGTTTAGCGGAATTTATAATCACACCGGCGATAAAGCCAGACCATCTGCCTTATAATGGCGTTACAAATAAATATTGAACTTTTCAGAATTATTTTAATACCTGCGATGTATTTTCATCAATGAATGGAATTACGTGACCCAGTTACCAATACAAATCCATTTGTATGGTATTATTTCCTTTAATGGCCACTCCAGAGGTATTCAGTAGTACTCTCAGCTCGATAATCTCATCAAGAATTGTATTGAACCACCTTTCGTCACATCTATTAACTATCCTGTGCAAGGGTTTGCTAGAATTTAGGACGTTAAAATATTCTTTCTACGTCTCTTTCCGGGGCAATAAATAATTTATTAATCAAAATTCAATTAATTAATTTAATCAAAATTCAATTAATTAATTAAATCAAAAGTCAATTAATCAAATTTAATAAATAATTTAATGATGTTTACACATGTTAAACAACAAAAACCTCCATTTCACTACTATTTGAAAGTATATATATGTAATATAACTTTTAATAAATAAATAATGTACCTGTTAGCTGTATTCTTATTAAATTCGTTAGATTTCCTGGTCCGATTGTCCAAATAACATCTTTCAATTAATTAATCTTTATGTAAGATCAAGGATTGTAAGGACATTTGTAAAATGGGAAAAAGGAGGAAAAATTCGAAAGGTTGGGTTGAGATGGGAGGTTAGTGTCCGAAATCCGAATCCGGATCGAAGTCACGACAGCTCAAGTCGTAGAGCAGCGGCGTATTTAGCCGAACGTCGTGGGTTCGAATCCCGCTCGTGACACTGACTTTTTTATCTCAACCAATATCTAACATAAAGATTAATTAATTGAAAGATGTATTCTTATTACAACATTGTACAAAAGCATTATTAATGTAACCGTTACAGCCTTTATTTATGTGATTGAAAGATGTCCATTTTAAAAATATTACGCTTGAATAAGAATATTTACTTCGTGTGAAAGGAGGGTTTTATTGCGGAAGAAGGGTCAGTTGAGAGGAAATGCCAGTCTTCTTCCCTTCAAATAGTCCCCTAAGGGAACAGAACGCAAAACACTTCATAAACAGAAGCGACTGACCATGACCGAAGGCTGAGGATTTATGGCCCAAGTGCATTTTATTGTATGTGCGAACCCCTTTGGAACTCCCCGCAATGAGTGTTAAGGGGAGAGTGGAATCTTCGCACAACTGGAAACCACTTCAATTCCAAGAATGAAAGGTCATAAAACAAATTTATCGCAAAGGATATTGAACGTTATCATTCAGAAATGTTCCGAACTTTAATTTCGTAAAGTGTGAGAAAAAAAGGGTGATGGAATGAAAGCATGCGAAAACTTTAATGAAATACTTAATTACAGCCATTTCAAAATAAGAAAATAACTAAAGTTTGAGAAATAATTTCCAAAAAATCATTTCATAATCAACGATACTGCAAAACAAGCAAACAGTCATCATATAAAATATGATAAAAAATATGCATGCTCAGTATGAACCATTGGCACTGGAAGAGAGGCCAACCCACAATACCTTTTGGGATTTTTAAATTATGATCAAAAATCATAATCAAATGATCAAATCAATGAAAAATTTACGAGTTATGACGAACCGAACGAAGCTAACGTGTGTTAGTACTGTATGAGGTCACCTTGATACTTCCAACGGAAAAAAAAGGTAAAACACACAAACAACCAAATCAAATGTAATAATAAAGCTACATAAAAAAAATAATCAAAAAAATTGGGGAACAATATAAATCAAATTCCAAACTAAAAAATGCAAAACTGAAAAACCTAATACGTGGAATCAAAACACACAAACTGAAACTAAAAAGCATAGACTTCTATTTATAATGTATGCCCAGACAAATTTGAAAAAAACTTAACACTGATATAACACATCAAGACTAAAAAAGAAGTATTAAAAAATTATTTAGTTTGTAGTATTTTAAATTAAAAATTAGAATGTGCAATCAGCGAGCTGTAATAGAACCAAAAACAGATTCATACAAATCCATGTAGAATAAACAAAACTACTTCCATTAGCTTACGAAACTACACTTATACAGGCAAAAACACAAATAAAAACTCAAACGCCTTTCCAGTTAACACTAATAATATAATTATGAGATTTCTCCTTCTGGCCTGCGTGAAAACCTGAAATTTGGTTGATGCCGATTATTTAAGTCTGCCTGCCCCAACAATCACTCAGACATCCGGAAAATGGCGCTAGTAAGACCAACCTAGCAAAAATGAACTGTCCAAAATGATCCACAACGACCAAATTATATAATTGATACGCACTTAAAAAATCCAAATTTGGATAAAATTTACTTATCTAATATTCAAATAAAAGTACAAATACAAACACAAAAGATTTCTAGGCGTTTGTACTACGAGGTTGATTAAATAATTTATTAATCTTGTTGTGTTGCTGCAGTTGAAATTTCGATTATGTTAAATTTCAATATTTTATGGAATTTTTCAAGTCACAGTTGTTGAAAAAAATTGATGTTATCTATATTAAGCTCCGTACTTCATTAGTTGGTGATTGTTTTGTTTCTGTTTTAAAAAATTGGTTATCTTTGTTACCTCTTTCACTTTTTAATATATTATTAAATAATATATTGTGTAGAACCTTCTGTTTTGCTAGGGCATAGACAAGTTGAAGAATTTTTTTTTGTTTTTTGTGAAGATTTAAATTTTAAACTCTCTAATAAGTAACATGCGCGTACTTGTTTAATTTTAATGGCGTAACGAAAGGTTTCACGCTGAAGTTCTCTATGATTGGTTAAAAATGCTGGTATTCTGGCATCGATGAACACGAAAGCAAATCCTGGGAAAAGTTCGACTTTTGTATATTTTTCACAACAATCAGTCCAAAAGTGTGTTATGCATTTTAAATTTTCTAATGATTCAGGGAGACTTGGATTGGTTGCAGTAGAAAAAATTGTATTACTAAAATGAAAATGAAATCGTCATGATTGCTAAATTGAATTATATTACCTGGTGTGTAATGAACGACGTTATTTAATTCCTACGTATGAACAGTCGACCGAGTAACAAATGATAAAAAATGTTTTATTTGACAAATTCATCGTGAATTTGTAATTTTAAAAAGAAACGAAAGCACTCCTCCATCAATGCGACCGTAGATAACACAGTAATATTAAAATAATATTTTTTTAATGTATTACAATGGCTCTTGAATGAAATGAGATAAAAATTTCAATAAATTTTTAAAATGTAAATTGAAAATGTTAACTGGAAACGTTTGCAGTTAGGATTATATTTATCGCTTAATTATAAATAAAGTAATTTTTTAAGCATCTTTCAACCTAATAAACAGTTTCCCAGATTTTGATTCCGTAGATGAAAAGACGCTGAGGAAATAAACGAAAAATGATGATATAGTTGAAAAAGTCAACATTAAGTTCTAATAACATGCCACAAGATTGAATATCCGTGTAAACTGGTTGAAACGTCGGCGATAACCGAAGGGCCCGTTTGTATGAAGAAAAGGACAAGAAATAAGAGATTTCTCGCAAGGTATGGTTTTTCCTGGTCTCGTAACTCAACGCGGTTTCCTGGCCGCAAGACAATATAGCCACCGGGCCCTCCAACTTATGTGACCCGCGGCCGGAAGACAACTGTTAAGCGCTTCCCCAACAGCAGGAAAACAAGAGTTTATCTTCGTTATTTATAGTGTTGTAAATACGTACCGTTGGCCATACTTCAGGCGTTATTAATGTCTATATCGATTCCCTACTAATGACAAACTAGAATGCCATTGTATGAAAGGACTCACTGTCTTTTTTTGCTAGTTCACAACACTATAAAAATTTTTTTTAAAGTATATACAATTAGTTTTAAATTAATTCAACATATAATTTAGATTGTTATACACATAGAAACATAAGTATTAAAAATTACATTAAAATTCAATTCATATTGCACTAAAACAAAAATATGATAACTACCTTGAAATTTAACTTCCTTTTTTAATTCAAAATGAAATTTGTATCTAGTTCTACATTTTTTATAAAATGTGTGGTGTTTAGTGACCGTTAGCCAATGATTATTTGGTGATCGTGAGGTGCGGTCTGGTGGGACGTAGGTTTTAGAAAAACATTTTCTTTATCGCGCCAACGTTTCGATCTTTATTGACATCATCCTCAGGGCTGAAAGTGTTTGTTTTCCGTGTAGATGTGTCATTCTTGTGTAACGTGTTGAGAGTGCCAGTGAAATATTGCTGTTTTCTGTTTATATACGTTGGATTTTGAAGTGGTGAGGAAGGAAGTCGGGATAGAAAGGCATTTTTATATGAGGATTCGGCTTCTTTGAGGTGAAAGGAGCCGACAATGGGAAAAAACGTGGCTAATGATTCGGCCTGATTATCCATTCAGGATTATATAGACAGGGATAATTAGGGAAAGGAAAGCCAAATTGTTGAAGAATTAAACTATGTAGAGATATTAGATGTGTGGAATGTGATGATTGTTTTATATGTTATATGTTTTGTGTGATGTGATGATCATATATGTATGTTATCGATATTGAATTTGATTTATGATTTTCGCGTAGCTGCGACTGAGTTTACATGTGTCTGTTCTGTACGTGATGCTGTGTTTATCCCTGTTGATGAAAATAATTTCTAAAAAGTGTTCATGTTTGTTTTGTTCTGTGTAATATTTTTGGATTGTTGAAGTCGAAATTGTGTTCAAAATGGTGGTTAGCCAGTGCTGTAGGATTTTTTGGGTTTTTTTGCATCATAGATATGTTGCTTTACTCTCTTATCCAGATATTGGGATGTAATATCGATGTAATATAAGTTGACGGACAATTTAAACAATT